AGAACAATATTATGAGCATTCGGGTATGAATTACTTTAATTGCCAGCTTATTATTTGAGACACATTTTACTATACTGTTATTCGTAGATTTGAGTAATTCATCGACCCCAACACCAACGAGATCTAATATTAGCAAGAAATCAACATTTAGATCCCGTATTCCAAGATTATCAGACCAGCGACCATCTTAAAAATCTATTACTAATCAAGCGGCACCATATTTTATACCCACCTTTTATGATATTAATCATCCAAATCTGATAAGAAGCAGGGAATACACCATCATTTCCACTTATCATTTTAATTAATTTAAAAATATGTAACTTTTTTTATGTAATTTCCGAAGCATGACAATTTAAATGAACTTTATTTGCGAATTTTAAAAAATTAAAATTTTCATAATTTTCACGTATCACATGATTTTAATAATAAACTGCGGCAATAATATGGAATTTTTTCCGTCAATGAATACATAGTACCTGCCGGATAATTAATAGTTAGTGAAATTATTTATACACAGATCTCATCAGAAATTTCGCTTAACTATGTACAAATATTTATTTGGTATATATTTGGGATTTGGTTATAAACCCAAACTAGATAGTAATACTATAATTAACCAGCCATACATTGTATTGATTCATTAAGATTGGGAACAACAAACTGATTTGAAGGATAATTTGTGAATTTAAAAAAATAAGAAAAAAAATAAAAAAGAAAAAAAAACTAATAGGATAATAAATTCTAAAATGTGCTCATAAAAAAAAATTGCTAAAAAAAAAAACTTCTAAATGTTATAGAATAGTTTATCGCGATACCGATAAGCATTGATATTAGATCTTTTTTTCAAGCCCCTTATTTCGGCTTCCTGTTCTAAATTTAAATTATACAATTAAAACGTACGTACGTATGACAAATATACCTAAGAATATATATAGATAACTTTAATGATTGTTATCAGTTCCTTATATTTTATTTAAAAAAAAAGAACATACAATTAAATCCGTAAAGTAAATATATGTATTAAAAATTTACAATAATAAGCCAAATATACTTATATACATACATGAGCAGATAATATATCTTCTTCAGTCTGATCTATAGCTGTGATCCGAACCCGAAACCTTCAAATTAGAGTATAGTGTTCAAGTTTCGAAAAAGGTTTCAAGTTTCGGTTTCGGTTTCGGGAATTCTGCTGTTTGAACATAAATGGCATTTGCAAGGACAGTTGTTGGGTCATCAGCAGAATGACTAGAGGATTTTTAAATAGACTGGTAGTTGTAGCAAAAAAGTTTCTACTTGATTCTAAATAAATTTTTTGTTTATCATTCGCAATAATGATAAATTGAATAAATTGCAAAAAAAAAAATATACTTTGGTTTTCTTTTGAAACCTAAAAATAGATACGTATACCAAATTATATTTTAACATAGATTTATAATTTACCTTTTGAACTTTCTATTGTACTAAAATATTCTGAAATCTTATTCTATATAATAAAAATTTAATTAATACTTATTGTGAAAATTTCAAAATTATCACATTATGTTTGTGAAAACTCCTTTGAAATACTTTTTTGGCGGTCTAAGGACATACTATCTTATCGAATATGATTCAACAGTCTATCTGTGGGTATCTGTGCTAGCTCAAATACCTCCTCACGAAAAGTAAAACCAAAGGGTTTAAAATATTACTAAAAATATAATCACCTGTTTGGTTTTACGTTTCCTGGTTGTAGAATATACGTGTTTCTTCATTTTGGTTCTATCAAAATAAAAAATTTTTTGTGGCTTACTTATGTACTCCTGTTACGCAGAAATAATTTATCAATTCAGAATTGTCGAACTTGTAGATCATTACACGTATATACGTGTTTCTTATGCAAAAAGACTATTCCTGATGGATCGGCAATACTGATCTTGATGGAGTTAAAAAAAAAATTTCTTTGAGTACTGTTCCTGATAGGGTCCTAAAAACGACCCTAATCCTAACTTTTTTCATTATAGTAGTATAGTATTTTAGAGGCCCTTTTTTAGAACCCTATCAGGAACAGTATGTAAATCGATTTTTTTTCCCACCCTATCAGGAACAGGTATGTTTGCGTGAGCTATAGTTATATTAAAATTTTACAAAGATTTTTTTATTAGAATTCAAAAGTTGGTTTTATAGGCAAAATTTTGAAATATAGATAATATTTTGGAGAAAGCAATAATTTACATTACACATGATCGTGCATCTGATTGGCACTTCATACTAACAGTGCTACACACAGTGTACAAATAAAAATGCTCAAAATTTTAAATCGCAATATATATCGCTAGAATACAAACAATAGTCAATAATTATCATTAAATGCTACAATTGTATAAATACTGCTTAGTAATATCCTAATTTAATAAAGTAGCAAATGTGAATATAATTGTCAGCTAAAAAAAAACTTTGTTTAATAAACGTCTTTATTAATGAATTTTTCATAAAATTAGTGCCGCATAAATAACAGATTAATCATGAAGTGACTTGTGTCAAGCTTCAAGAAAATCGATCTTACTTTTTTTATTTTAAATGCTATTAAAAACATATAAACTGGATTTTTTTTTAAAAAAAAAAAGTTATAATTTTTCTATAAAAATGTACATCATATAAACTAAATTATGTATAAAATTATTCATTGCTAGCCCATTTTGTTAAAACTTTTTCAAGTTGATTAATTCTTAGAGGTTTTGATAAA